GCTTTCCTCTCCTCTTCTTGCCTCGCCGACACCTCGCTCCCTTGCTAGCTGCCAGGCTCGGGGCGATATTGAGAAAAACCTGCTGCCATGTTTGCTGAGAGGGGAGCGCCGTCCTGGCCAGGTGGCTCTGACTCTCCGGCTGCTGGCAGGCGGAGCGAATCATGGAGTCTGGCCGCCATGGCGTTCCAGGCCTTCGGGTAATTACAACACTTGCCCTTTGAAAGGCAGCCCTGCTCTGACGGGCGGGTTATCTGGACGCTGTGATCGGAGCGCCCTAACCCGGCGCTGCACGGCCCTCTGGGAGCCTCAGAGGGACTGTGTGTGTGTGTGTGTGTGTGTGTGTGTGTGATAATGCGGCGGCGCTCGGACAATCCTCCTCTTTGTACTTGAAGGAGTCTCCACTTGTGGCGGCGTCTGAAGTGGCGAGGAGAGGCAGCTAGCAGTAATGATGCCTGTGTGGTCGACCCGCCGAAGCGTCCAAACCGGCTCCTGTGGACCCACAGTGTGTGTGTGTGTGTGTGTGTGTGTGTGTGTGTGTGTGTGTGTGTGTGTGTGTGTGTGTGTGGCGGCTGCACGGTGACCTGAGTAGAGATGAAACCTCTGAGTGACAGCAGCAGAAACACAAACACACACACTTTAAATCCACCGTTTTTGACCTCTCACACACACACACTTATACACACACACACACACACAACTGTACACAAATGCACATTTACAAACACGCTCTCTCTCCCTCTCTCTTTTCCCCGGGTCTCGGTGCGTGTCGTCGCTCTCAGTCATTAGCGGGCCGTGGTGTTAGCCTGTTTGCGGCCCGGGGGAAACGTCATTAAGGCGAGCTTGTGGACGCTCAGCCAGGGTTTGTTTTGGTCTTTGGAAAGGGGCCCCGGGTCCCCAGAGGGGCCCCGGCGGTGCTCCTGGGGTCCGGTTTGTTTATAACACTTCTTTGGCAGTTTGGAGGAGGTTGTCACCACAGCAGCACCAGTGGGTTTCCAAAGCTAATTGGTCTCCTGGAACTTTCACTAATGGTTCCAAGTAGCTAGGGGAATAAATTATTGTGGCGCTTTCTGTGGCAACAGTCACACACACACACACACACACACACACACACGCTTACTTTCTGATTTTTCTCTACTTAGAGATCAAACGGGCCGATAAATGATTCATCGAGCGTCTCATTTGGCATTCGCCGCCTCGATTTGACGCTTGTTTGTCAAATGGCAATGTGATTCAGGACGGCGTGGGGCCGATGCTGCAGCGTAATTGGACGACGCGGGTCAGATACAATATGATTAATTTTTAAGAATTACCGGATGATATGTTAATGACCCTCACAGCGAGGAGGAGGAGGAGGAGGAGGAGGAGGAGGAGGGACTGTGGAGCAGCTTGATGGTTATTACAGAATGGAGATTAAAGATGGAGTAGGTAATTTTTTATGAATGATAGATGATAAAAATAAACTTCACTGAAGCTCCTACAGCAGAAAAACCTTGGAGCTGATCAAACTCGGATGAATAATGATAGAAAATGTTGAATAAAATCTAAATTTAACTTTATTAACATCAAAGTTTAAACACAGTGACGAAATAAACATATAAAGACTATTCCTGAATTTAAAGAGTCATTTCACAGTTTAAAGGTCGAATGAAGAAATCATCTGAATGTGGAGTGTCGGCTGTAAATCTTCATTTCAATAGACATGAAATTAGAAGTGAAGAAGTGAAATTATATATATATATATATATATATTAATACCCTCCTGCACAGCAGCCAATCAGGTTGCAGATTGGTTAAACCAGCTGATCATGGATCTAAGTCAAAGTTCAGCCTGTTAAAAGAGTTTAAAAAAGTTTAAATTTTTTTAAAAAGTTTAGATTTGTAACTTTTTAAACTTTTCCTCAGTGTTGGCACTCTTCCTGTTAAAACTTGGAAACACTCTTTTCTTCTTCTTCTTCTTCACTCGTTCCCTTTCCTCTGACGGTCTCAAACAGCCTCACCGACACTGACGAAAACACTCTTAAACACTCTTAAACACATTTAAACACTCTTAAACACTCTCAAACACTCTAAACACTCTCAAACACTCTTAAACACTCTCAAACACTCTCAAACACTCTTAAACACTCTCAAACACTCTTAAACACTCTCAAACACATTTAAACACTCTAAAACACTCAAACACTCTAAAACACACTTAAACACTCTCAAACACTCTTCAACACATTTAAACACTCTCAAACACTCTTAAACACATTTAAACACTCTTAAACACTCTTAAACACATTTAAACACTCTAAAACACACTCAAACACTCTTAAACGCTCTCAAACACATTTAAACACTCTCAAACACTCTCAAACACTCTTAAACACTCTTAAACACATTTAAACACTCTTTAACACTCTTAAACACATTTAAACATTCTCAAACACTCTCAAACACTCTTAAACACTCTTAAACAAATTTAAACACTCTTAAACACACTTAAACACTCTCAAACACTCTCAAACACTCTTAAACACTCTTAAACACATTAAAACACTCTTAAACACCTAAACACTCTCAAACACTCTTAAACACTCTTAAACACTCTCGAACACTCTTAAACACTCTTAAACACTCTCAAACACTCTTAAACACCTAAACACTCTCAAACACTCTTAAACACTCTTAAACACTCTCGAACACTCTTAAACACTCTCAAACACTCTCAAACACTCTTAAACACTCTTAAACACTCTTAAACACATTTAAACACTCTTAAACACCTAAACACTCTCAAACACTCTTAAACACTCTCGAACACTCTTAAACACTCTTAAACACATTTAAACACTCTTAAACACCTAAACACTCTCAAACACTCTCAAACACTCTTAAACACTCTCGAACACTCTTAAACACTCTTAAACACTCTCAAACACTCTTAAACACCTAAACACTCTCAAACACTCTCAAACACTCTTAAACACATTTAAACACTCTTAAACACCTAAACACTCTCAAACACTCTTAAACACTCTCAAACACTCTTAAACACTCTCAAACACTCTTAAACACTCTCGAACACTCTTATACACTCTCAAACAAATTTAAACACTCTTAAACACCTAAACACTCTCAAACTTTCTCAAACACTCTTAAACACCTAAACACACTCAAACTCTCTTAAACACTCTTAAACAAATTTAAACACTCTCAAACACTCTCAAACACTCTTAAACTCTCTCAAACACTCTTAAGCGTCCCTCCTTTCTCCTCGGGCTGACTCTGGTGCTGCGTTCACAGACCGTCAGCCTGCAGCTGTGGGTCAGTGAACGCAGCACGCCTTTTCTCTGAGCGTCAGTCTGATGGATATAAATGTGCAGCTCTCAGTCCTCCGCTGTTCTACATGACCCCCCCCCACACACACACACACACACACACAGATCCAGTCCAGGTTCAGTTTGACGGTGGACTCCATGAGACTCTCTCTGGTTGGTTAGTTTGCCCTCTGGCTACCTGAACGGCTCTTTGGCAAGCAGCCGTGTGATTGGCTAGCTGGTTGTCAGAGGTGACGGTGCCGGGGGTCAGGTGGGTGGGGTGGTGGGGGCATCTACAGTGGTGTTTTCATCTCTGGGCGTCATCCAACTGTTGGTGACCTTGGCTTGGACCCCACCCAGCTGGACAGTGTGTGTGTGTGTGTGTGTGTGTGTGTGTGTGTGTGTGTGTGTCGTTACTGAGAGATTCAGACTCCGGTCGTTTTATTTTGTAGACCAGAAATCTTGTGTTTGAATTTTTTACTGTAAATCAAACGTTGGTCTTTTATTTTGAAAATCCTGTTTTTGGAGAATCCGGATCTCTTCCTTTTGTTGTCGTTTTGTTGTCGTTTTGAGCTGCGATTGTTCAGACTTTTCTTCTGTGTTTCTCTCTGACTTTTTCAGCCTGATTTTAGCGACGCTCTCAGAGCTCTAAGGGCCTGTTTCCACTGACAGCAGCGGCTGTTTTCTGAATGAACTGGTTCAGTTCAGAGATTTCAGACTCAGTATCAGCTGATTATTTAGCGACTGCAGTTATAACCCTCTAAAATATGATTTCACTCTTATTGATTATTGAATTGAGTTATAGAAGAGAGTTTGAGTGAATTCATACTTTTATTTTTATCAGGGTTGTTATGGAGCACAAATACACTCAGTGGAAACAGGCCCTTACTGAGTGACCTCTGCTCCTCTCATCATGAGTTCAGGAGCAGGAACTTTTCTGCTCTCAGAGACAAACACCATCAAAGATCTGAGGATGAACAAGATACTCTGAGAGTCAGATTTAACCCTGATGGGAAATTAAAGGATCAGTCTGTAACTCTGTAAAGTTCCTGTCCTGGTCTCTAAAGTTCCTGGTCTCTAAAGTTCCTGTCCTAACCTGTCCTCCTCTCCTGTTTTTCAGTCGGTGTTGTGATAAGAAGAGCTGTGGAAACCGTAACGAGACGCCCTCTGACCCCGTCATCATCGACAGGTAAGACCACCTCTGGCCCCGCCTCCTCTGGCCCCGCCCCCGTCCTTGCTGAAGTCCACTGCTGTGACTCTGTGCCTGATCCTGGACTCAGGGGGTTCAGGTTCTGGGTTTCCAGGCTCAGTCCAGGACCCTAAGATCATGACTGGGTCTGAGTTGATGTTGCCTGAGGTGATTTTGAGGAGAGGGTTTGGTTCTGTGTGGTTCTGTTTGGTTCTGTTTGGTTCTGTGTGGTTCTGTTTGGTTCTGTGTGGTTCTGTGTGGTTCTGTTTGGTTCTGTGTGGTTCTGTTTGGTTCTGTGTGGTTCTGTTTGGTTCTGTTTGGTTCTGTTTGGTTCTGTGTGGTTCTGTTTGGTTCTGTGTGGTTCTGTTTGGTTCTCCGTCATATTTACGTGAGGTGTAAACCTCTCCTCACCTGTTCTCCTCTCTGCTCCTCCTGGAGGTGGGGGGGGGGTTATTCAGAACCATCTCAGTGCTGGTAGAGAAGCTCTGGGCAACAGCCAGGACACACACACACACACACACACACACACACACCAGTCCTCTCACCTCAGACTGTGTGTGTGTGTGTGTGTGTTTTGTCACCTCCTTGTGTGTGTCCTCTCACACATCAGATGGATTCTGTACGTCTGACCAACACCCCCCCTCCTCCCAACATGTACAGACACAAAGCATTGTGGGTAATGGAACTGTCTCAATGTGTTTTTATACTGACCGACCAGGACCTGACATGTGTATAAATGTGAGTCTGTAAACACAGGGTCAGTGTGTGTGTGTGTGTGTGTGATTTACTGCAGCTCTGTTGTTTCTCTACATTTTAGAGCCTGTTTTATGACTGTGACCCTAACACACACACACACACACACACACACACACACACACACACACACACACACACACACTAGGGGGGGCAGTGCTTTGAAATGGGGGACTGATCATGTAAATGGTGTGTGTGTGTGTGTGTGTGTGTGTGTGTGTGTGTGTGTGTGTGTGTGTGTGTGTGTGTGTGTGCAACTCCAGTAAAACAGTTTAATGTTGAGGAAATCCACGTCTCAGACAAATCAATCAAACACACAAACACACACACACACACACACACACACACACACACACATTCAGGTTATTGCTCTCACTGTTTGTGTCGTTCCTCCCTCATGTTGGTCTCTCTGCTCTCTGCTGTTTCACTAACGGACCTGGTCTAGACGGGACCTCCATCCTGTAAGATCAGAACCCCCCCCATCGTTAGTGAAACCCTTTAGGACTCGACAGTGTGACCCTTTCACAATAATAGATGTGTGTGAATTGTAAAACATATTTAGGGTCACATGTGTGAATAAAAAATCAACAAATGTTTTTTCCTGTAAATACGGCGGTGAAGTTAGTTTCAGGTTGGATATATTTTCCTGTAAATACGGCGGTGAAGTTAGTTTTAGGTTGGATATATTTTCCTGTAAATATGGCGGTGAAGTTAGTTTCAGGTTGGATATATTTTCCTGTAAATACGGCGGTGAAGTTAGTTTTAGGTTGGATATATTTTCCTGTAAATATGGCGGTGAAGTTAGTTTCAGGTTGGATATATTTTCCTGTAAATACGGCGGTGAAGTTAGTTTCAGGTTGGATATCTGACGGACATTCTCTGAGGATCTACCGGTGTCTTCTCACTCTCCATAACCGGGAATAACAACAGCAGCGCGGTTAAATCTACTCGACACCCTCACTGTCAACGTCGGTGTTGAATAAGGGACCGTCAATAAATTACCGGTTGATGTTCTCAGAAAAGACTGTTTTCCTTCAATAGCTTCACTGTCATGTGACCAAAAGACCTAAAACTGATTTCTAATAACAGTACAAAGTACTAATTATTGATCAGATTTCATTGATCCCCTAAAGTTCGTTGTGCTCCTCGTGAACAAAGTTAGTGTTGATCCCTGCTGTTTACAGCTTTCTTCAGACAGACTCTGGTTCGGTTCTCCTTCCAGTCTGAGCCGCTCCAGAACTCTGTTGGTGTCCGGACCCACCCGGACTGTCTCTACAAACACACTCTGGTTTCTGTCTCAGGTGTGTGTGTGTGTGTGTGTTTCTCTCTGTTGTGTGTGTGAGTGTTTCTCTCTGTTGTGTGTGTGTGTGTGTGTGTGTGTGTGTGTGTGTGTGTGTGTGTGTGTGTGTATATATACAAACGTGCGCGCCGCCGCTCATCCCTCAGCTCGCTTTGTTTCCTCGCTCTCTCCCGTTAATGGCTGAAATCCTGCCGAGGCAGCAGATCGTGGCGCTGACGGATCGCCGCCGCTCGCCGTTATTACACGCTAATATTGCAATTAGATGGGTGGACAAGTCGGCGGAGCGGGGGCCATAAATCCCCCCTCAGTGTCAGAGTGAACGAGGGGGGGTGGGCTCTAATTACCCAGCCCCTCCCCCTCCTCCCTTTATTGGTCGAGTCTTACACGGAGGTCACGACCCCCCCAGCGTTCGCAGGTTTCATGTCGTCTACAGAGCGGTGGGTTTAAGTGATGGAAGCTGACCTTTGACCTCCTTTGATAACTATGATTCTACACATGTAAACTCCATTTCCCATCAGCCACCTCTCTGTGGATCATAAACATGTCAGAGGAGATTGAAGCCGCTCCAATTACAGGTGCAGTCTGGGTAAAACAGGCTGAGTGTGTGCTTTTATTTTGTAGTAGTGTTTCCTGTTTTCAGAATAAATCATCATTTGTAGAAACAGGAAGCTGCACGCCGCCGTCTGCGTCTCCTCTTAAAGTGTTTTATCGTCTCATGGGAGGCGAGGGAGCGCAGAGCGAGCGTCAGAGCGAGCGAGAGAGAGGAAACGAACACCTGAGGGTGAAAACAGCGTTCATCCGTTCATCTTTTAAATCATGCATTCAAAGTCGACCCCTCTGACTCTGAACCGGACCCCTAAAGAGAACCTACAGTTCAAGACCGAGAGCAGAACTGGACCAGGAACCATGTGGAACCATCAGTACTGTAGAGTCCCAGGTCCAGGGTAACCTCCAGTGATGGGCACAGCAGTTCTTATAGATCTACTGAATCACGAGAATCAGTTCACTAAAAAGATTCGTTCAAAAGATTTGAAACACCGAATCATTCAGCGCTTGGTGGGAGGAGCCTGTGACTCCGACCTCCTGAACGGTTCAGGATTCAGTTCAGGGTTTCTGTAAAAATGAACTCGTTTATAAATCAGGATGATCAAGGTGTGTCCCTCAGACAAAATGGTTCCAGAGTGTGAAGTTCACTGAGTGATTCGTTCACCAAGTGATTCGTTCACCAAGTGATTCAGGCATCAGAACGTACGATCCCTCGTTCGCTCGCTGCTCGCCAGGCGAAGAAACGTGCTGACCGCTAATCTGAACTGAGAAACGAACAAATCACTTAAGGAAGTGATTCGGTTCAGTACGTTCACTTAAAAGATTCGGTTCTTTTGAACAAGTTGTTTGCAAATGACACATCACTAGTCACCTCCTCTTTGACATCAGTGTGGCCCTAGGACCAGGACCAGGTTTAGTTCCTCTCTGACATCAGTGAAGTCCTAGGACCAGGACCAGGTTTAGTTCCTCTCTGACATCAGTGAAGTCCTAGGACCAGGACCAGGTTTAGTTCCTCTCTGACATCAGTGAAGTCCTAGGACCAGGACCAGGTTTAGTTCCTCTCTGACATCAGTGAAGTCCTAGGACCAGGACCAGGTTTAGTTCCTCTCTGACATCAGTGAAGTCCTAGGACCAGGACCAGGTTTAGTTCCTCTCTGACATCAGTGAAGTCCTAGGACCAGGACCAGGTTTAGTTCCTCTCTGACATCAGTGAAGTCCTAGGACCAGGACCAGGTTTAGTTCCTCTCTGACATCAGTGAAGTCCTAGGACCAGGACCAGGTTTAGTTCCTCTCTGACATCAGTGTAGTCCTAGGACCAGGACCAGGTTTAGTTCCTCTCTGACATCAGTGTGGTCCTAGGACCAGGACCAGGTTTAGTTCCTCTTTGACATCAGTGTAGTCCTAAGACCAGGACCAGGTTTAGTTTCTCTCTGACATCAGTGAAGTCCTAGGACCAGGACCAGGTTTAGTTCCTCTCTGACATCAGTGAAGTCCTAGGACCAGGACCAGGTTTAGTTCCTCTCTGACATCAGTGAAGTCCTAGGACCAGGACCAGGTTTAGTTCCTCTCTGACATCAGTGAAGTCCTAGGACCAGGACCAGGTTTAGTTCCTCTCTGACATCAGTGTAGTCCTAAGACCAGGACCAGGTTTAGTTCCTCTCTGACATCAGTGTGGTCCTAGGACCAGGACCAGGTTCAGTTCCTCTCTGACATCAGTGTAGTCCTAGGACCAGGACCAGATTTAGTTCCTCTCTGACATCAGTGTAGTCCTAGGACCAGGACCAGGTTTAGTTCCTCTCTGACATCAGTGAAGTCCTAGGACCAGGACCAGGTTTAGTTCCTCTCTGACATCAGTGAAGTCCTAGGACCAGGACCAGGTTTAGTTCCTCTCTGACATCAGTGAAGTCCTAGGACCAGGACCAGGTTTAGTTCCTCTCTGACATCAGTGTAGTCCTAAGACCAGGACCAGGTTTAGTTCCTCTCTGACATCAGTGTGGTCCTAGGACCAGGACCAGGTTCAGTTCCTCTCTGACATCAGTGTAGTCCTAGGACCAGGACCAGATTTAGTTCCTCTCTGACATCAGTGTAGTCCTAGGACCAGGACCAGGTTTAGTTCCTCTCTGACATCAGTGAAGTCCTAGGACCAGGACCAGGTTTAGTTCCTCTCTGACATCAGTGAAGTCCTAGGACCAGGACCAGGTTTAGTTCCTCTCTGACATCAGTGTGGTCCTAGGACCAGGACCAGGTTTAGTTCCTCTCTGAACAGCTGATCACTCAAAACAGGAAGTCAAAGTTTTGAAAAACAGATTTTGAGTCTGAGTGAAGGTCGACCGCGTTCCTGGAGTCTGATTGTTCTGTCTGGAGTTTTATTTTGGTCTGTAGTATTTTGGTCTGTAGCTGTTTTTCCGTTTCTATGGTAACAGATTTCTGTCGTCATGATCATGAAGAACTTGAGTTAGAAAAGAAAGATGGCCGTCAGCTCCGAGTCTCCTCGCTGCTCCTCTTCCTCCATGTTTCAGAGACGGTTTATGTCAGGATCTCTGCAGGTTAGCTTCAAGGGGGGGGGGGGGGGGGGTGATGGTGGTGAGGGTGTGGGTGAGGGTGGGGGAGTGCGGGGGGTTATCTCCCCCTGTGGACCCTTCCCAGCACTCGTAGAACATTGATCGGGTGAGCGCGGCCCATCGGAGCCGTCCAGATTAAGAGTATAGATTTACAATAAAAGAAGGACATTACTGGAGGGGGGGGGGGTGAGAGAGAGAGAGAGAGAGAGAGAGAGAGAGAGAGAGAGAGAGGGGGGGGGGAGGGAGAGAGAGGAGGGGGAGAAGGGAGGGAGGAGGGGGGAGAGAGGAGGGAGGGGGGGGGTGAAGAGAGCCAGAGGGGAGGAAGGCCTGGAAGGACGCTGCAGGGGTTTGGAGGATGGTGGGAACACGGAGGTCAGCTGATGGGTCGGGTTTTATAGAGTTGATGTAACGAC